AGTGATCGAACGATGAGCAGCGCAGTATGTATGGCATAATTTAACTCACATCTGGTTCGCGGTTTTTTCATCGAATAAACTGCAGCGTTTGCAATTACACTCGCCCTGCACGTTCTTTCTTACTGGGGATTGGCCTACACTCTAGCAGTATAGAGACAACACTTATGGACATCAGCCTTTTATTTCATGCCTGCGGGGTTCTGGAATGCATTCATAGGACTTAGCTTTATTGTGAATATCAAATAGACCACTTCACGAGATCACTATGTGGTGCATTACAAATAAGTAGTATGGTGAAATGAGTAGGCGCGACCAAGTCAGCGAATAATGGATCACCCCGGACAACGGGCGCTTAATGCACAATTCGACTATACCAGAAAATGCATGGCGCTGGAACGTTGAACGTATACCGTACAGCCACTGAATGCTGAGTCAATAGCACAAGATGCAGCAGATGGCGCTGCGAATGATCTGCGTAAATGAGTCCGACTGTTCTATGTTAGAAATGTTATACCATGTATTTATTCGTTCTCTATCGCAATAATTCCTTCTCCACCGCAAAATTTCCTTCCCACTGTTCACCGCTGCACTTCGTTCCATGACCGTCAGGACGTGTGACGTGAAGGTCTCTGGGCTGCAGCCATTTGCGGCGGTTCATGTGTGACTTCGGAGATGCTACGGGAGTAGTCGAGAGTGAAACTGGTTACGCGTCGGTGTCTCCTCAAGGGACTGGCGAAGATGATACTGGATACGGGAAGAAAAGTCCCAGTCAATTTGAAATGGGATGCCGCGAAGCAGGCGCTGATCGCGGGCTTCAACAGTGCGCCCGGGTACGATACGGCGATCCGAGGCGGCCCGGTTTGGGCTAGTATAGGATCTCGTCGTGTTTATGTTTCATCTCGGCGGCTTGTTGGGTCGGGGGCTGCCAGATTTGGACGACGCGTCAAGACAGCAACTGTTAGTGGAACAGTTTCTGGACGCTCTACCTCCAACGATGGCGGATCAATTGCGAACGCCACCCAGATGCTAGGCGTGGTGGAGTGCGTCTGTGATTCGGTTACTGGGAGGCATGGAGGTGGAATTTCTTGGGACTGGGAGTACTGACGCTGACACGTGCATGTTGATTGGGCCTACACGCCTAGCACGGCGGCGATATGAGGCGCCGGCCGGAGAGCTGACTCCTGAAGTCGTCTAAGGAGGGGCGTACCGGCCAAGGGGAAACCCAGCAGACGAAAGTCCCCGCGTGGAACGGTTTAGTTCAAGGCTCCAGAGCCAAGTTTTTTCTACGAGCCCGTCTTCCGCGGTGATGCAGTATTCGCTGAGTTCGTCGCCCTTGCTCGTTTCAACACACTACTCCTTGGTAGTGCATCACAACTGCAAACGAGTAAGTAACCCGAATCATCTGTACAAGGAACCTTAGCTATGATAATTGGTTATGATTTTTTGCGTGTTTTTATCTTTTCCTCGACCGTGCTTCTAATATGCTGTTGCCTTGGCGCCTTGTTATTGCAGATTTCACTTGGTTCTTCGGTCTGTCGATTCTCACACTGTCTTACGGGACTTGTTAATCATAAGCTTTCCTATTCTTCATAAAGCTTGGTTTTATTGGATCACTCGATGAGCGACTAAGCACCTCCTGCGCATTTGTTATCAGATCTTATTCTTCCATTCTTCTAGGAGTCTGTCAGTTGCTTCAATCTCGTCAAAGTGGAATAGGTAAACCACTTAAAATGTCCTCCCTAATTGGGCATGAGCCCATTTGTTTGCAGGAGTGATAGCTTGCTTGCAGATTCGCAGCACCAAAACTTGCATCCACGCCGGCCAGGTGGCAAGATTCGGGATGATGCATTCGAATGAGTCTGCTGCCACATTGCTGCAATATGCGCGCTACTTACTAATGAGACGGTCACGAATCTCGAAATGTGCCTGAATCCAAACAACTCCAATTGCTTGGTTTTTGTGTTTGATCAGTTCGCACGTAACCCACGTGACTAATTGCATGCAGGTGTCTGAGACCGACAAGCAAACATCCCTTGACAGCGATAGCGATTACAGTTTGACCACGTGTCAATTTTGCTTTCTTTTACATAAGACAGCACACCATCGCAGGATCAAATTTGACGTGTTGAGCCCTACTGCATTCCAAACTCGCAGGTTAAGTCAGAATGGGCCGAACGGATGCAATCCGGGCGTGCATTGTGAATGTTATTCTCGATGAAGTAAATGGTCGTTCAACAATTCCTCCTCATAGGTGATAGCCAGTTGGAGGAGTGTGGACATAGAGTACATGGTCTGACACAATACCGGTTCCGTATATCCATATTCGACTTAGCGTTATGCATAACTAAAGGATACGAAGACGCAGAAGCGAAGGCTATGTACTTTACTACCTGCGACCACCACGTCGGAATAAACCCAAATTAGTGCCTTCAATATCAACCAAGGCACTCGGCCAGCCTGACCAATTATCTACATTTTGTTTCCGATTCGAACAGAGTCTGGCGGCTATCAATTGAGCTTCTTGGTTAGCGGTTTTAATTGGGGTTGCGATTAAGCTTGAAAAAGTTCATGACAGAGCGGTGACTGAATCGTGTCCGCCTATTCTTTGCGCTAATAATCGTGATATCCAAAGAGGATTTTGGGCTTACATCACAGTAAGTCAAAGTCAGCGTATTAAACGTAAGGTATAATCGTAGTCACAAATTTACCAACCATGAAACCAGCCACCTTTCAGTGATTTGTAGCGTAGTGAGCGGACAAAGGCAATGTTTGTTCAGGTACGTCGATAAAAACGCATGTGTTGCCATAGACCATCGTTTTTGCACCAATACCATTAAAGCTCCTGTAGTTTCAAGACAAACTTTCCTCATTACTAGCACTATGACTGGAGTCAGATGGGTTCCAGTTTCTGTTAACATCATCATCAACATTATCATCATACATGTTAGCTGCAGGTGTAAACACCTCAGCTATTGTGTCGCAGTACAAAAACAAGAAAAGGAAAACAAACAGTGGCACACAGGCTGAGTCCTTAGTAACGGATGGACATCGTTCCGGAGAGCTAACAGGTAGCTATCGTGCCGCAAAAAGAGAGGTATATTATGCCTATGCACGTCGCGGAAGTCGGTGTGCTGGCATGCGCAACACGTGGCCCAACCATCGGAGTCTGGTGCGTTTATCCCGTTTATCACGTTTCCGTTAGCACTTTGCCGTCAGGTAAAGTTGGCAAGTTTTTCTTACGTAAGACGCGTCTTCTTTTAATAGGAGGTCCTGAAATTGGCCGATTTTACGTTTCTGTTGCCTGTTGAAAATTTACAAATATTCCGTTTTGAATTCCGGCCAAACTGCAGTAATTGCGACGGCACGCTCAATTTTTACTTGACTTCATAGTTCAACGAAATCTTGGGTTGCGATGTCGATTTCGATAACTTCCTGCAGCAGTTTTTCATCATGTGCATTGCACTGGTATGAGCAGCAGACGAAAATGTGCACCAACGCAGCGTACGTTACTTGTGGCTAGATTTCACGCCGTCGTGCTAATTTGACGGCGTTTTTCCGTAATTACATACGGCCGGGTTATGCAACTGCTGCTCTCTGTGGGAGGCAGGTTCGTTACGGCGTTCACATGCTGAGCGCGGTTTTCATTGACGCACACGAACACTTAAAACAAATTGCACTCAGTCTCCAGCTGTTGAATGAGGTGAGTGGACCATATATCCGAGGAAAAAACTCATTATTCCAACGGCATTCTCTTGGGATATTTGATGGCATTCAATCGGGTAGCTATGCAAGTAGTCAACTTAGTATAACACCAAACGTTTGTAAGGAAACTGAAAAACTAAAACTGGGAGGAAGGCACGCTACGGAAACTAACATAACAAGTAGTTAGCGTTTATTTGATTTTCGAACCATTATTAGTCCGCAGTTTACCTATACGTATCCATGTAAATTAGCGGCAAATTGATGCGGACATACTGACTACGATAACGAAGCCCTTGATTCAGTCGTGTGCCCTGAAACTGTTGCGGTTTGTTTGGCATTTAAGAAATATCTTAATGAAAATATTAATACACCTAAATGAGTTTTAGACGTGGAATAAAATAAGTGTTACTTTTTAATCCATCGTTGATATTCACGATACTACGCTAAGTAGAATTACAACACTGAATTGGGACAACGTGTAATGAGGGGGAGCACTGAAGTCAAACCAAAACTCAATCGGCGTTGTTGAGACCAATCAACAATGTGTCAACTAATTTTTAGGAAACCTCACCACCGTCTTGCCGCTTACAAGGAGCATTTGCGGTCCTACATGTTAAAACATTTTATGCTCAGTTCCTTAGGGTCCAAAGCGATCCAAAAATGAAATAATATTCAGTTTGCCTATTTAAGTGGTAAGATCATTAAAGTAGACGATCTTCGCGAGTGTGCTCCACTTCAGGGCGCTTGAAAATGAAATAAATTTTTGTGTGTTTCTGAAATCAATTTGCTAAGGATTATCCACTACTTGGGTTGTCCGCATGCCCCAGCGTGTGACATCCGTACTTGCAACATGAATCACGGGCCACTTTGCAATCCCGTTCTCTCACGTGTGTCTGTGTAGCCAGCTAGTGATCTACTCTTTACAGGCACCAGCAATAAGCAGCTTCATGGTAAAGTTTACGGCCACTTAACCGCAAAATTATGTGCACACACACTCATCGCTTCATTTGGTTTCACTGACGAGACTCAATACGTCTGCTAGAGTTTACACGTGCACGGTGCGTGCGCTCCCCGGCGGAACAAGTGAGGGAGAATTCACAAGGATTGCACCACCACATGCGGTTGGGACTGGTGTTAGGCATGACCAGTGGGTGTGCGCTTGCACACAAAACGCTAACACGGTGTCTCAAGCTGTTGTGTGTAATCGCACCACACCGTTCGCCCGTGCAACCACCCAGCATCGCACCTGTGCCTTTAATAAAGCATGTGAACAAGCGTGTACCAGTCTGTCTCTGCGTCGACACACTGCGGGTAGAGCTGAATTTCTTGGTAAAGTAGCAAGCAACACCGAAGGTGAAATCACTGTGCCCCTTTGACACGAGCATTACACCGTCGTCATTGCTTCAAAGCCGTCGATGTGATTTCAGCAATCAGTTGAGTAGCATCCGTCACAGTGCAGTTCTAACCAACAGACCCGTTCCAAACTGTCATGTCAACGTGTATTGCTGCTACGCTCATTCTGTGTGCCTCTATCTTTGTTTGGCATGGATGTAGAGCCGAAATTGCGGAACCAGACGCCCACGTACAAAGTAAGTTTCGTTTTCCCGTTGAGAATGACAATTACCATAGCAACCGTATCCCTTCAGAAGTAGCATAGATAGTTCCTTAAGATTCGACTTGCTGTTCTCAGTGAGTAACATTTGTTGCTTCTTGGACCAGGGTTATTTTTTATGGAGAACTATAGGATGCCAATTTCACTTTTGTTTGCAAGTTTGATTTTTACCTCTGTTCCTTAATCCTGTCATGACGCCCAACTGGTTCAGCGTACTGCAGCTGCTCCCACAACCTCTTGGGGTTTGGATACCCCACAGTTTGGCAGTGAAGATAATTCGCATATACCTCGATTGACCTTGAAGTAGGGACAGCTCATTATTACAATAATAATCAGGCTCATGAATGAGGAAGATAGGTATTCACTAGCATCCGCGTTATTAAGGTATTCGGAAATATATGGCTTTCGTTAGTGATAAGTTTTATGCATCAGCCTTTTCCACTGGTCCATCTGGTAAGAACTCAAGTGGTGATTTTCTAGAGAAAAAGAGGAACATCCTCGAGTTTTGGTCACGGAAAATTTCCAAGAGTAAAGGAGCAAGTGCCTACGTTTATATAAGCTATCATAATGGCTGGCAGACTGTTCTCCACAACAGCGTATCTGACGAGGAAAAAATAGATGGCATGGCTGTCCTGGTTCTTGGCACAGTTAGTTCACATATCTTGTTGTGCAGATTCCGAGTGAAGTTATGTTGCAATTTTAGTGTGCATAGGTTGAAGTATGTCTTTTGGTCTATGAGCTTGTGTATCAGCATCAGGCCATGTTTCAGTCGTCACAACCAAAGGCGCTCAAACTTATGCTGCTGGCAACGCCCCTGATAACTCAAGGTAGACAATGTACTGAATAAATGGTTAGTGTATGATCCGTGCAGGTTTCCTACGGCTTTTCTGCCACCCATGCGCATGTTCTTATAGTTGCTGCTGGTAGTGTTTAATGACAGGAATTGTGAGTATTTTGAAAAGCTCGACTTTGGCAGGCACTACGAGGATTCTATGCCGAATGTTAGTCGTAGATCTTTTGACGCATGCTTTTTGATACAACGTGTTCTGAGAAATGGAAGGTAGAAGAGCATCGTATGCCTAGATCACAGTTAGGCATTTTCATAACATTGCGTTCGTTATTTACTTTAACTGACTCTTTAGGAGGGACCAAAGATTCCTGTGACATGATGCATAATTTACTCGCTGAGAACTTCATCATCCGTGTGTTGCATCGTTTCTAAAGTGAATCACTGTGCATGTAACGAGTTTTCTCACCATTGTTGCCTCCTTTCACACAAGGGACACTGGAGAAGACCATTACCATTTCGCGTTCATTTTAGCCCCACTGCCAGCCGAATGTGAGGCAGACGATCCTCTCGGAATGATCTCCGGTAGCATTGCTAACTGGCAAATCACATCCTCATCTACATATCCAGCTAGTTGGGTGAAGGGATGCTCAGAACAAAATGCACGTTTGTTCCGCCCCAACGGCCTGGCGTGGTGTGCCAAATTTAAGTCCTCTTCCGAATGGTTACAAATTGACTTGGGCGTAAGAGCTCTGGTAAGTCGATATTTCAGACATTTTTAAAACAGATTTAAATGCTCAATAATACGAGTGACATACAGTGATTTTCTCAACCTCTGAGTTGGAGAAAACCACAACTACTTATCCAAATATCACTGCTAAAAATATCTAGTAAATATGCTATACTTTTGCTGTCTCACGGTATCGTCGAAAACTATTCATATATATACTACAGATTCGCACTCAGTAACTAGACCGAAAAGTTATGATGCTTCTATATAGCCTTGCAGATCTGAGCTGCTAATTTATTCTGTACTTGAAGTTGCGAACTATTTCACGGATTAATTCCCTCCGACACTTGTCTGCCGACTGTTTTCCAAAGCAATAATACCCCACAAAGATTGCTCTTTTGCTCTTCTTCACTGCTGACTGGTGCGAAATTAATAGACTGGCACATTCATTTTTTTCGCTCCTGGGCAACACATTTTCTCTGTACCCATTGGTTCCGGCGTTTAATGAACGGGACCCTGCTGAGTGGCTCATAACCCTCTTAAATGTCATCATGCTGTCCATCATTGAACGTAACACCATTCTCACGTCATTGTCATATTAACTCTGCCTAATGCTGCTGATTCAGTATGAAATACTGTGAAGCAGTGGGGGTTTACCAAAGTTACGACCACAGTGGATAACCACTGCAAACTGAGTCAGCACCCACCACGTTTCGAGCGTAGAGTGGACGGGTAAGAAAACGACCGATACTATCCCATGCCGTTAGCAGAGTTGAAACACACAAATAATGTCACCTTTCGCATGAACCTTGCTTTCTAAAGTTCAGACGTGACAACCTAAGCAATAAACAAATGATTAGGGCCGACAGACCTTAGTCGTTTTGCAACTAAGTAGTCTGAACGTGTTTGGAGACCCCCGACATCCCTCCCGCAACTTACGAGAGTACACTGGATCCCACATTACTTGATACTGCCTGCTTACAGTATCTGCGGGAATAGCTAATGGAAACTTATACGGTCTTATAATTTAAGCCTGATGGACAATACTTTGAATCCATCGATGCAAGTCAGTGTGCATACCGTTTTATGGAATAAAGAGTCTTGTGTAGCAGAACATGGAGTTGTATGTGATCGCTAGGCGGAGTCGCCTGGTACAGCTAGCCACTGCTACTTAATTAATATGATGATGGGAATAATACCTTATTACGTTTGATAGCAGAAGGAAATGAGCAGTTTAAAACGTAGTTGACGAGCACATCACACTTCAGTGCCACCCAACTTGGACCCACTCATTTGTGGTAAGCATTGGTTCCACAATATCACATTTCTGTGTAATACATTGGGACTGGGACCGAGATAAAACGCAGTAACCATGCGTATTCGCTCACAAGGACATCTTCACTGCTTAACTATACTCAGCCGATTAATCCAACATGGTTCAAGGCTGACTCAAGATGCAGCAGTAGGCGTCAGGTTTTCGATACAGTCTTCGCTGGAAAATGACTGCAAATTCCTGCTTATCTGCATTCTGACCCACAGCAATGCTTTCTATTTTGCAAATCGCGCTTTCCTTACTTTATTCACTAGTTCAATCCAAACTACCAGTGTGTAAGTTGTTGCTAAATACATTTGGTTTATCACACCCAGTGGCAAAGCCTTTGACCGTTCACCAAATATTACACTGTTCCGAAAGAAACTACTCTGATACCATCCCTATTGTTGACCTATGTTGATTCAATAATTGTCCCTGAAGAAAAAATCGTATCGAAGTATTCGCATGATAGGTTCTTAAGTGTCAACCATCTGAACAGGCTCACTTGGCAATAGAGCACGTAATCTATTACTGAATACGCGCTTATATCACTTCCAAGGAACAGTGGCCAAATACAACCAATTTCACATCAATTTTGACGGTTTAGAATCGGTTACATTAGTAAGACAAATATAAGGCGCGCTAAGTTACACTTACCATCGTCGCTTCACTTGAATCAAGCAGTACTTACAGAAAGCAGGAGTCTGGACTTTTATCTCATTCATTTGAGATAATGTCCCGCTCGATCAATGCACGCACTACAGCACACTGGTCACGATACTGACATTATTCACTCCACTGTAATCAGCGAAATAATTTTATGGCCAACATAACTCCTTTCATGAAGCGGTGGCCTTATATGCGTAAATTAGTTGAAATTACAACTCCTATTCATATTTATTCCAGAGAAAACGCAGCAAATTTCTAACTGATGCAAGTCGATCCATCCCTACAGTGCTATGGAAATGAGTTTTCATTTCTTCAGACCGTAAATCATACAAGCCACATAAACCGGTACATAGGTCTGAGGTTCGTTGGCCATACTGTATCTAGCGCTGGACCAGAAATTTTTCGTTCGAGTAACAATTGACTAATTACTTCGGCATAGATTTAACAGTCCACAATATGGTCACAAATGGGTCATAGTAACCACTCTTGCCTATTCCTACTGATAGCATGTTAGCTGCAGATACATATTTACAAGTCCAGCATGTACAAAAGAACATTCTTGGTTTGACATGAATTGAAACTTTGTAGCTTGGTTCTCCGGATCCCACATCAAATCATAAAGCATTTTGCATGATTCAAATGTTTACATTCTGGGTCGATTTCTGGTTAACTTTTGAACTCAATCAATCTACATAAATTATGGTGGTTGAGAAAGCGACATTTACCAGGATTACCAGGATTACTTACCGGATTATTACGAAGTTGATTAGTGACAGCCATCAAGGGAACCCGTAGATTGCCATGTAGGTAGGAGCAAGCTATTACGGGCTTAACACTGCCGAAAAGAAAACCGGTGGTGCTTAGATGGGTCACGTTGAAACACTCGTTGTGATTGGATTGTGACATGCAGTCTAAATGTGGACCGCGATTCACATTGAAGTGAATCTTGACAAATTCTATCACTGGGACAGTAACTGAAGCAGACTGTGGAGAGCGATTTACGGGCGAGTAAAACACAATGTCAAAAACCCGTAATTGCCTGTATAAGTTCGCCATTTCAGCAACTCAGCCATCAGTCTTTGCATTGCTATCAGTCTTGACGTTAGGTTGCAATAAAACAAGGCAAAATTCTAGGAGTATTTTCTGTTTGGCTTCTTTGCACATACTGGATCATATCAGTTCCAAAGGAATTGCTGTCTAGTCTGAAATTGTACCCGCCAGCCTCCTGCTACCAATTATACTGCGCAAGCAGTCAGGGGCTGCAGATCCTTGTATCCCTAAAACTCGAATTCGCCGGTCTCCTATTCTCAGTGTTATTCTGAAAAAGTAGACTATCGTAACCAATAGTTTAGCTTTCCCCCTACCAGTCGTGCAATTTTTTCCATGGCCGTTAATTTGCGATTTGTGTAGGACTATCGAGGTGCCGATATATTACCCATGACTCCGCAAGCACAGGTGAAAGGCAACTAATAACAAACGCAACCCAATGAATGTGTGACTGTTACTCTGTTAAATCTGGTGGTTTAGGGAAACGGATATGTATACATAATGAAAATTGCTTAAAAACCGCAGCAGTAATTTTGAAACTTATTGGGTCAATGACACCCAGCTATCCTTAATAGCTTTTACTTCAGGTATGAAACGACCACAGCTCAGAATAGGGAATGCAACCAAGTCAGCCTACGTCTTATTTGTAACCGTCACTACAGCCCTGAACTGAATTCTATCTAGCTGGGTAGAAAACAGACTTACTGACTAGGCATGCTTCCTTCTTTTGGATTAAGTCAACGGACTTTTCTTCGCCGGTATAATATTACTTTTCGAACGTCCAGCTGCACAGGACCCAAACTGAAAATATGTAAAAAGTCCGGTATTTCCTCTCCCACTTTAGCATTAATAATGATCTGTCATGGCATACGTACTAAGTTGCTCACGAATACTATAACCGTTATAAGTCACACAGTCAACTAGGCTGTAATTCTAAAATACAACTGATGCCTTCTCTCCTCTTCAACTGAACTGTTCGAACTTCCATGGGTGGAATGTCGTACTGAAACAACGTGCGTAAAAGCTACCGCCTCAATAACCCGAACCAGCATGCTGCATTTGTTAAACAGGTGATGGTCTACATATTGTTTTGCCACACCAGCACACATACAGTTAAAGTATGGAAGTGCGAGGGAAACCCATCGAGCGAATACTCCACATGGGAGCAAGTCCCTTCAGAATGGTTCCATGGATGACCGTATTACTTTACTTGAAATTTCGGTAAATCTCTATCTGTCATTGTTCCCAGTTTCTTAATCTCTCTGGTACCTACAAATCCATCAATTCAAAAGACATTTGGGATCCGTTATACAAAAGATGAACAATTAACCACTTTATGCGATCTCGTTGTGTAGACTGATCAGGCCGCTCAATTGGATTATGTCTCGCACCGTCGAGGAATAAACCGTGTATTTATTTATTTATTTCTTTAGAGCTGAATTTCTGTCGATCAGCAGTATTCTCTGCGATCAACTATGAAGAGTAAAATATATGAACGAATGAATGCAAACGAATGCTACGTATACTTTACCGGCACGACTGTCCTCCGACGGTCAGCCAAAAGACCGCTGACAGTCAGCTCACAGTTCACCGACAGCCCACTGAGAGTCCGAAATAGGTTCAAATTGACCATGCTTCAGATTGCCAAAGGTTTGTAAGGAAAATTATTTACAGCGCACCCCTTATTCCTCTCTCTCAGTTTTCCTAGACACATTGCCGTATATTTCCGATTATCTTAGCCGCACCTGCTGCCTTGGTTGTAACACGTGAACGCAACGAACGCATGCAAAATCGTCGAAACACGCAGAAATGTGCGCAAAAGGTAGATTTCTACGAAAAAGTTACATATTCGTCTCCTAACCGGGTCATTTCCCCCGAAGGAGGTCCACACCATCACGCTCAGCTTTGTGTTGAACCCAAGGTTTGGTTATGTGATTGATCAAGGTTTTCGATGCACCAGAAAGCGCCTTTCGCAGTAGCGCTTTTGTAATAAATAT